AAACAGATAACACGACAGTCGACCGCACCGGTCGACCGCACTCTGATATGCAACTGGCGGTCGACCGGAAGAACGTCGCGGTCTACCGAAATAATTGGCGGTCGACCGAAATAACGTCGCGGCCGACCGAAATAACGTCGCGGTCGACCGAAGCCTCAAAACGAGCTCAGCGGTCGACCGCGTCGGTCGACCGCCGAGCGGACAGAAACCCAAATCTGGGTTTCTGTCAGCTCGAAACCTGAAACAAAAATTTTGACATTCTTTGATAATAAGAGTTTTAATGATTCAAAAATCATACTGAAGATAAACAACTAAACCCAAGCTTGAAATCTACATTTTCAATGTTCTAAATACATGAGAAACAAATTGAAAATCTTTTAATAACAATAAAACATGGTTTAACTCTTTTTTTTTTTAGAAAACCCCAGATCTAGATCTTTACTGAACAGAAAAATTTGTAAACTTTTATACTGAAACCCTTGATTCTTGTTAACCATATCATAGAGAGTTTATTGTTATACAAAAATACCATTTTGGCTCGTTAAAACTCATAAAAATCCAACAGAAAATCATAGAAAACAGGGGTGAGGGATTGGGCGAGATGATACTCGCCTTAGATGCTGACAACTGCTCTGGAGATGATCCTCCTTTGCTCAAATCCGCGAAAAATCCCCTGGAACTCCTCCAAACTCCCCAAATCACCAGGTCCAGCTAGGGTTTTGAGAAAAGAGGAATGGGGCTAGGGTTTTACGTTTGGGCTGAAGAGGGAGGCTCTCCTGGGTTGAAATAGAATATATACTAAAACCCTAACCCGACCCGAAACCCAATAGGACCAAAACAAAACCGTAAACAAAACAGCCTGGAAAACTCTCTGTACGCTGGTCGGTCGACCGCACCGGTCGACCGCCACGGTCGACCGCCACGGTCGACCGCGTCGGTCAACCGCTCAGCACAAAAATACTTCTGATAGGCATTTCACATGATGATCTTATACCACTCGATTTCTCTCACTTGAATACACCTGCTAGGTTCCCAAACACTGATAAATATATACATCTGATATATATATATACATGATTATTCCTCATAAGAGAATTATTCACTATTAATAATTCACATATATTTATTATAAAATTTTCGGGGTTTTACACTATTAAGGGACTTCAGGGCCTGATGATCAGTATAAAGCAGAAACTCTCGCGAGATCAAATAGTGCTCCCAATGCTTCAAAGACTGAACTATGGCATATAACTCTAGCTCATATGTGGTCCACTTCTGCCGAGCTTCGCTGAGTTTCTCACTGTAGAAAGCAATTGGACGTCCTTCTTGAGATAGCATACCACCAATTCCTACGATGGACACATCACAATCAACTTCAAACATTTTTTGAAAGTCTGGAAGTACAAGCACTGGTGCGGTGGATAACTTCTCCTTGATCAGTGCAAAGCTACGATCTGCATCCTCCCCCAATTGAATTTGCCTTTCTTCATGCATTCAGTGATAGGTGCTACGATGCTGCTAAAATTTCTAACAAATCTCCTGTAGAACGTTGCTAGGCCGTGAAAACTACGAACTTCGTTGATAGTCCTCGGTGTAGGCCAATCTCGAATAGCACGCACCTTCTCTTCATCAACATGGATGCCCTCTGCACTAACGATAAAGCCTAGGAATACAAGGCTACTGGTCATAAAGTTGCACTTCTTCAGATTGATGTACAACTTGTTCTCCTGCAAAACTGTTAGTACCTCCCTCAAGTGGTCCAAATGTGCAGTCTCGCTCTGGCTATAAATCAAGATATCATCAAAGTAAACTACAATGAACTTGTCGATAAAGGATCTTAATACTTGATTCATCAAACGCATGAAAATGCTAGGAGCATTAGAAAGGCCAAAAGCCATGACTAACCATTCATACCAGCCTTCTTTTGTCTTGAAAGTAGTCTTCCACTCATCTCCTTCTCTAATCCAAATCTGATGACATCCTATCTTGAGATCTATCTTGGAAAACACTTTTGATCCAGACAACATATCTAACATGTCTTCCAGTTGTGGGATAGGAAATCGATACTTCACGGTAATCTTGTTGATAGCCCTACTGTCCACACACATGAGCCACTCTCCGTTCTTCTTTGGGACTAGTAACGCTAGCACAGCACACTGACTCATGCTAGGTCGTATAAGGCCTTTCTGGACGAGGTCATCCACATGCTTCTGCAAAATCTCTCCTTTCTTTGGCTCATCCGATAGTGTGGCAAATTTGGTAGCCGAGATCCCGGAATGAGGTCGATCTGATGTTGAACATCTCGAAGCATTGGTAATTCAGAAGGAAGATCGTCCGGCATAACTGCATCAAATTCTTGCAATAAGGTCTGTACTTTAGGTGGAATTTTGACAGTGGCAGAATCATCTTTTCCCGAGACAACAAGAGCATAAACCTCATGGGATTGTTTCACATATTTCATAATATCTTCATTGTCGACGACCAAGAAAGTCTTCTTGTCAGCAACAATTGTTTTGGTTGGCCCCTTCTCGGTTAGAGGCTTGAGCATAATTCGGCAACCATCCTTCTTAAAGATATAAACCTTATCCTTCCCTCTATGTGTGGCATCAACATCAAACTGTCATGGTCTGCCTAGCAGCATATGACAAGCATCCATCTCAACTACATTGCACAATGTCTCATCCACATAAGTTCGGCCAATGGAAAAAGATACCCGACATACTTCATCAACCTGTATGTCATTACTCTTACGAATCCAACCAATCTTGTAAGGAGCGGGATGCTTCTCCGTCTTCAAACCCAACTTCTCCACCATGCGCCGAGAGACAATATTCTCGTTGCTCCCACTATCAATGATGACATCACAGATCTTCAGTTTCACAGTGCATCTCGTACGAAAGATGTTATGCCTCTGTGGTGGTTCTTCTGTCTTTGGAGCCAACAATAGTAGCCGCACAGCACACAAGAGTTGATCCCCAACATCATCGGGATCCAACCAATCACCATCATAGTCTTCAGCATCGTCTTCTACCTCCTCATCTTCGTGATCCACCATATTCACAATACTTCTTTTAGGGCATTGATTAGATCGATGATCAGGCTGTCCACATCTGTAACACTTGATTGGGTCAGGTTTGGCATTTGGGTTCGGTGGTGTAGCCTTCTTTGCGGTTGTCGTCACCGGACCCTTGGGCTTCTCAGTTGTAGTATCTTGATCAGAAACAGTTTGTGACTGTTTATTCCCACAACGATTAAAGTTTGTGTGTGACCCGTCGGAAGCCGCCCACGATCCTTTATTGTTCCGTCCAAGTTATCGCTCCACCTTTTCGACTAGGCTAACCGTGTCTGCTAAGGTATATGTCTGCTGTAAAGATACACGATCCTGAATTGCTATCCTCAATCCCCTGGTATATCGAGACATCTGTTGGGCCTCGCTCTCGTTTAGGTTGTTGCGGGATGACAGTCGATAGAATTCCTATGTGTACTCATCCACGGTTCTTCCACCTTAATCACAATTTTGGTATTGCCAGAATAAGACTTGTTCATAATCACTCGGCAAGAAACGAGATTTCAGTAGTTTCTTCATCTTTTCTCACCTATTGACTTTCGTCTTTCCTTGACGAGATCGATTCATACAAACTGATTGTCACCAAACTAAAGCTCCACATTTACCAAATTTACCTTGCACTCTTTTGGGATCTCCATACTTTCAAAGAACCTCTCTACTTCTGTAATCCAGTCAAGGAATTCTTCGATATGAAGTTGGCCATTGAAAGATGGCAGATCCATCTTCATCTTGAACCCTCCAGCATCATATGATCCCAGTGTCAACGATCTCTGTGATAAACACCACGGCGTAGGGCTGCATAGTTATCTTCATCGTTGTCAAATTCATCATGTGGAGTCGGATCACGTCGTTGGCGACCATCAACGCGATTTTGAACTCCTGCCGTGTTCAGACGCTCTACTACTATTGCGAGTCACTTTATGGCAGTCTTCATCTAGTTAACATCGTTCTTCACCCACGTCAAACTCTGTTCGAGAGAAAGGAGCTTCACCACCTACCATCGGATCGGAGGAACCTGCTCTGATACCAATTGACGCAGCGCGGGGGTAGTAGCCTCGGAATCCACCAATAACAATCTTCGAATCCACGAAGTAAATATTACAGAAAAAAACAAAATTTTATTAATTAAAAGTTGTCTCTAGGTCTTACAAGACTCTACTTAAATACAAAAAGAAACAAGACTTCTACAATGACTCAAACTCCTTCAAGGACTCAAACTTTACCAAAAATAATAAAAAGATTCTTAAAACATTAAAACTCCTAAAAAGACTCCTTATGACTAGGAAAATCCACCGGTCAAATCTAAGATCAAATCGAATTTGTTTCCTAATCAATACAGACTCCTAAAACACTATTAAAAATAGTAAAAAACGAACAAAAATACAAAAATCTCTCAAACCGTAAGGAATTTGGTGAAACGGGTGAAGCAAACTGAACCCTTAAGGGTCGATTTGAATAGCTCCGTCTCGTCGAGATAATCGATTTTTATATAATTAATCTAATTCCGACGTACGGCTTGAAAGTTATAACCGTTTCTTCGTAGCAAGTTATTTTCCTCGACTGGGCCGTGTTTGAGCTGACGACTGTCCCACTTTGACATAAACATATCTGTTGTGTGTTCTACATCATCACGTTACTCGCGAACATGTGTTCTCAAAGTTAGCCACAACTCTAGAAGCCCCAAACCCTATATCCAACCCTACACCCTAACCAAACCCTAACCAATCACAACACGAGTGTCTTAACACTCGCAATCCTTGACTTTCCCGATCAAAGTTAGAAGACAGACATAACCGAATTTCTGGATAAATAGAAGAAAATTATGAGAGAACTTTCCCTTCTAAGAAGAACTTTCCCTTCCGAGAAGTAAGAACACATCGTCGATGCTTAGCCTCTTTCATGTCGAAGACACAACAGTATTACCAGGGTGAAGTCGGCTACATACTCAATAATACACATAGCAGCAGCGCAGATCGATTTAAAATTTACAGACATGACAGGCTGAAACATTAAACATCTAATCAATAATACAATATTTATAGAAAATCAAAGATAACAAAAAACAGCATGATCCCATTCATATGATGAAGCTTCCATGCCTGGGATCTCAGAATATTTCTTGATAGTTCTAAATGAATTCAGGTATTGCTTGCATAAGCAAAAGAACTCTCAGGAGCATGATGATGGTAGATAGTTGTTCATAAGTTGAATCCCCTCTTCGCTCATCTGCTGTACTTCAGAAAGCGATAAGATCCTGATGCACCGGACACAATTGACAAAATCCCTGCATTTTGGCAAAGTGTAAGGGCTCTTTTGTAGGAAGTATCAGTTGAATGTCACCATATGAGGAGAGTGAAGGGGAAAAGAAGATTTAAGCTGAGATAATATGAGAATAATATGTGGCGCAATTGCAGGTTGGATACTTTATGAAAAGAATTCCTAGTGGAAAAAATTCGGGATTTTGCAGAAAAGGCATTTAGAACAAGTTAAGAAAAAACAAAAAACTGTGTCACATGAGGAATCCATGCCTAATTTTCTAATCTAATGATGAAGCATCCATGATATATCATAAGTAGTTTGTGAAAAAGTGATCCCTTGATAGATTTTTGAGTGAGGAAACCTGTAAGATATACCATAGTAAACTGTCAGAGCAGACAATTTAGAGTAATGTAAATATGGCTTTACTAGCGTGTAGGGAATACATTTGCAGAATCAGCTTGTTCGCTATTAATTCCATTTAAAGCATAGTATAACTTGTTAAATTGTGAAATCTTTCTACAGTTATGATTTTTATTTCGAGTAACCATTTTAGTCTGGTCTCAAACTGAGGATTTTTAATCATCCAATCCACTGCTTTACCACTGAACCAGGCCTTGGTAGCTTTCTCGAGCAACATTTAGTGGTAGATGTATATATTTTTCTAGCACATGAGACTATTCAAATTAAAAATTATTAGAGAACTTGAGTAAAAAGAAAGAACTGCAAACTGTCCATGTGGCTAGGCTAGAATTCTCAGCCATTAATTCCTTGTATCGAGACAGCCCATCATACCATCCTTCTTCAATAACATGCTCGAGATAAAGCACATAGAAGCAGTGGTGGAGCCGCGGAGCCAGAAATTTTATCTTTGGAGGGCCAAGAATCCAAGACACATAAAAATTAGTTTCTCCTAGTTCGCACTTATATACCTTCACTTATTTTTTGCAGCACTTATACACCGTAAAGTTTTCAAAGTATGCACTTTAATACCCTCTGTTGTGCAAACATGAGAATATTCCCTTTAAAATTTACATGTGACACTCACATACTAATCTTAGTACATTTTAACTCTTAGTATGAGTTAAATTACTATTAAAACTATCAAGGTCTTATTTTAAAATAGAATTCGAGTAGATTTAAAATAGAATTATGAAAGGTTCAACAGTAAAATCAACAAAAATTAAGGGCAAAAGTTCTTAAAGTAGCATGTGAGTATCACATGATAATTTTTAGAGGAAATAATCATGTTTGCATAACTTAGGGTATTGAAATATAAATTAAAGAGCTTTAGGGTTTATAAGTTCTGCCAAAAACAAATGAAGGTATATAGGTGCAAAGTTGGGAGATTACAGAGTACTTAAGTGCCATTGAACCATATTCCCAAGAAGACCAACCAATTATTCCATGTATAAATATATAAATTGCAATAGACAATTACTATATATATACATGTAAATTTCAAAAGTTTGGGGGTTGTATCTAGCTCCACCCGTGCATAGAAGAGTTATAAATTCTTGGTTAGCATCTCTTCTTTAAATTATACACTCAAGTGTACAGGATAATGAAGTACATATAAATAGACAAGAAAACCATCTTGAGCAAATCAGCAAAAAGAAAACTAAGCTGCTGTAGAAAACTAACAGGGCAAAAGTCTTGACTTATATGAATGCAAGTATTCACATATAGGATGTATTTGTATGTGTTGTTTATCAACATGGCGACTGTGAGTGTTCTGCACCA